GACTTTTTCAGGAGAGTTGGTAATTTAGCTTCCCTTGGTTTTAGATTTATACTCCTGTCAATGAATTCCTCTTGGGTAACCATTTTCACTCAGTAAGTGTTTCATAATATTTAGCTCTTTATTGAGACATTCATCAAACTTTAACAGACAGAAGACAAGTAGTTCAGCGAAGAGTCTCTTTTCGGCGGCGAATTCATTTTCATAGCTGTACAATCGCAAATACAATTATATGGTTGTTTTGTATGTGTGTGTACATTAAATTTGTCAAACGAAAATACAATTAGTAAGTTCAGATGAATTGGATATTGATATAAGAGGGTAGTAAGGGGGTAGCAGAAGGCTTATTTTTCTACTTGAAACCCTTGTGTAATTTCGTACATTTTGTTCCCATGTACACCCTGAGTACAACTCTTTCATCAAACTATTCATATTATTACGTAACTCTTCCTTAACAATCGTTTGTGACAACTCACCACTGTTGTTACTATTCTCTTATATCAACATCCAATTCATCTGGACTTACTAATTGTATTTTCGTTTGACAAATTTAATGTAAACACACATACAAAACAACCATATATATATATATATATATTTGCGATTGTACAGCTATGAAAATGAATTCGCCGAAATGAGACTCTCCGGTGAACTACTTGTCTTCTGTCTATTAATGTTCGAATAGGAATTTTTCATGAATTTATCAAACACTTTATTAAACTGTGTTTATATTCCAAGGATAGCAAGCTCATAAAATGACTATACTAACCAGTCAATGTAGGTGGTTGTTTGATAAACACTGTTTCTTTTAACCATCCTCTTTTCTAGTCATAAGGACGTCTAGAAATAAATTACAAGCGTTTCTGTCTTTCTCGACGGTAAGATTTACTGCAGAATACACATTGTTAAATTTGTCAAGGATGTTTTTTTTGCTTGCTTCATTCTCATTTTTCATAATGTTCAAATGGGTCATCCATGAGACGACAATGGAATTCTAGTCAGCTAATTGCATCTTTCAGAGGTCTATTCTCTAATTTCGCAAGGGAAATTTCAGCTAGAATTGGTTCTAGCCGTGATCCTGTTGACACATTATCAGTTTTTCTGTATAATTCCTAATCAAATATAAAAAAATCAATATTCATTGGGCATCTCGAAAAATGCTCTTCTGTCAAAAATACAGTAATGCATACATCGATGTTTTGTCTAATAATTTCTTCACACATAAAGAGGATACCTCAAACGATATCATGAATTTATTGTTAACACTTAGATGTTTATGTCCCTTCAACAAATTCAAAGGTGTCTTTACTTTGATATGAATATAAAACTTGGGCACTGTGGTGGAGTATAACTCCATTATGGAGAAGATGTTTATTTTGATAAATCACACAGTGTTGTTATACATTAATACTAACTGATGACCACGTTTCGAGCACAAACTATTGCTCATAATCATATCAAGGCAATACTCATACAACGTTTTACTTCATTTATATACATGAGTAAAATTTGGTGATTAGACATTTGAATAAAAATCAGTATAAGATAAAGTACATTCAGAAATGATAATATGAGTGTTATCAGTCAAGTACAATCAGGTGGGAAATAAGACGAGTGCTTTTGTAGTAAAATAAATAAGTAACTTGTTAGAATGTTGTGATGTGTTTGAATTGAAATAGAATACAATTTGAGATTATTTATTATCCTCCTCTGATTTGACTGACTGGTGGTAATATTATCTTTCATATCTCTGGTATTTGTATTGAGTCACTTCTATTTCATGTGTTGGGTGTGGACTCGATGAACCAGGCAAGATTCAGTAATCAATCTCTCTATCTCTCTCCACCTACCTATATTGTTTCTTAGAATTTTGACTGCGTCCCACCTACCCTATTGTGTAGTTGTGTGTTAATGCATGCAGTAGGATCGCTGATTTTTTTCTAAATAAATTATCTTCGCGGGTGGGGTCAACCATTCCAACCTTAGCTAAATTCTTATGTTCTGATAATTTCACTACTGACCCGATCTACTAGTTTGACCTATGTATTTGACCTCACTCGCTGTCATTACAAGGTATTTTGTAAATTATATTATTTTGTTTAATTGGGTTCACTAGGTCTTTAGGCCTACACAGCTTGTCTCTGAGTGAGTTTTTGGGTTTGAATGCCACCCTAATCAATTCCACTTATGTATACAAATGAATTAAGAAAGTTGTGTGAGTGACTTGATATCATTATGAGTGGCAATAGTTTGTGCTCGAAACGTGGTCATCAGTTAATATTACTGCATAACAACACTGTGTGATTGTATCAAAATAAAATCTTATCCATAATGGAGTCTTTACTTTGAGTTTTAATAACTCAGTATGTACAGGCTGTAAGAAATTGATCAACTATTTAACCATGGGATGGTACGAGAATTTCAACATGTCTACTGCGGTGATTCTATTTGGTAACAACAAGGAAAAGTAAGCAAAGGTTATTCACCTGGGAAGGATCATAAGACTATGGTCAGTCAGGTGATTGAAATGTAAGAATTCAGCTAAATATTCATCGACTGAATCTAGAAAGGTGATTACGACATATCAGCGATTGCAATTCATGCAATAACACAGAATCACATCATACAGTGGGACAGAACTACACTTGTAAAAAGTAATATACAAGGCTAAGTTAAACTTTAAGCACCATTAACAAACTACCAATGGAGTGGGATCGCACCAATGACTCTGAAACGCTCACTGAGCAAGTTTGTGAAACCTGGGAAGTAATATTGTCATCATTAATGAAATATGCTCGTCGAAGTGTTATGCTATTCAATTGGGATATCTGGGAAGTTTCAGCTTAGGTTTGAGAAAGATTAAGTTGCGCTTTAAACCAAGGACAAGTTAGGGTTAGGTTAACCTATTAAAGGAGACATGAGGGTTGGTTCGAGTTATATTACAGTTAGTTTGGGGATATTTTCACGTTAGGGTTAGGTTAAGGAAAGATCAGGGTTATTGCTGGAGTTGGAAGACCTAAATAACTCCATGCATAGAATGTTGTTAAATTACTCTGTTGATATAAGAATAGAATTCGTGCACTGTGGTGGTAGAGTAAAACTCCATTGTAGGTAAAATTTATTTTGATAAATTCTCACAATGTTATACAGTAAGTAATGTTTACTGATGACCACGTTTCGAGCACAATTTATTGCTCAGGAAATATAACTGCATTACACTATGAGAGTTTATCAAAATAAATTTTACCCACAATGGAACTATACTCTCTGTTGATACTCCAACCTAAAACTGAGAGCTGTTTTTATCACGTGAGTCGAAGGTATCCTCTGTAACACTTTTATATAGTTTGTATGCATCGATATATATGTATTCCATACACAAAAAATGCCTCCTTCGTGTGATTGGTGCGTTCGAGGTCATTCGCTGATTGGGTGGTTAAAGGTGCTTAAAGTATAACTTTGCCGTATATAATCATATGAAGTCAAAGGTTGATCACTAAATCCCCGAGTTCATTAAATCCACTTACACTCTACTTACACGTGCAATAGGAATGATGCAGAGCCAACACCAGAGAATATAGAAAGTGTAACTATCTCTGAAATCAAAGGATAAGACATAATGGAGTTATACAAACTAAGTTTTTTAAAGTTCTACGACTGGCTTGATGTGATTATGAGCAATAACCTGTGCTTGAAATGTCATCATTTAGTAAACAATACTATATCACTGTGTGTGTGTTCTGGTTTTATCAATGATGAAATTATTTCTCATTTTCATGTACGATACATGTTCCATTATGACTAGTACGGATATGAGTTCGTTTAGGATTACGGATACGCTTTGCTGATTATAATGATTATTATTCCCTTGGGTTACGAGTGGAACGTACCGCTTCAACAACACTTCTCCACTATCTTCTGTTTTGTGCTGTCCTCTTCAGCAGTCTAGCCACACAAATGGCCATAACCTCTCATCTTCTCATCCAACTCATACGATCTCCTTCATGTCACCCTCACACCGAAATCGTTTCCCATTGGGATTCCACTCGAGCGATAATTTGCACTGAGCGCGATGTTATTTGACGGCCTCCTCAGTGGCGAATGCCTGATCCACCTACATTTTCTCCAACATATTTGTCGAGCAATTGGCTCTTGCCTATTGGTTTGTTGCCAGCTAGCCAGAGTTTCTTGTTGCTAATTCATTCCGACAAGTCGGTCGTCCATTTGATCTTCCGTATTGAGCTAACTGTTGCAAATGCTTTTCGTGACAAACTGGCCAAGTTTCTGACCTATATAGAGGAAGTGACTGACGGACTTGACATCGGCGCTGAAAATTCTAATCTTGTTCCAAACTGCTTTTGGGTTGATGAAGGCTCATCTTGACTTTCCTGTTCTGGCTGGCTTTGACATTTTCATCCCTACAGTCACCTGTAGTTGAAATGATGCTGGCTACATAATTGAAGGCAGGAAGTAACCTCTGTCAAATCTCCCCCACTGATGGCGATTGGTGCTGGTTGTTGTTGCTGTTTTTGATGGTGGTGGTGGTGGCTGGTGTTGATCTTCATCGCCTTCATCTTCTGTATGTCTACATGGAGTCTTGTCTTCGCCGGTTGTTTCTTCAGCCAGTTTGTTGGTTTTCGCCTGTAAGTCATCGCGTTTTTGTGTGCCAGAAGTTATGAAACATAGGTCCCAGGCTTCCTTCTGATTTCCTTCAGGCATCTAATGTGGATTATTTACTGAATTTTGTCACGTTTCCAATTAGTTAACCTTGAGTCAATCTGGGGGTTTCTGTGATTCTCACTATTTTTATGATCAATATTATTATTCCCTTGGGTTTCTAGTGGAATATAAGAGGGGGGAGGCTCCATCAGTTCATCTCAACTTCACACAGTTCTCTGCTTACTTTTTTAGCAGACTCCGTGATTTTCCACAAACTGTCTTTACATGATCTCCTGGGTGTTGGTCTCCAAAACACACTATACTAACCACCACCAGTAACTAACCTGCCCAATTTCTTCTATTTGACGCAATATATCAGCTTTACTCATTTTCGTAATGTTTTATTGATTTAGTTAGGTAATGCTCAGGATTTAAAAAGAAAACAAGATGGGTACACAGTGGTGGAGCTACAAGAATATTGATTACTATTATTTCACTCGAAGACTTCTTATAACAATGGAAATTCCATAACATATATAGACGTATTCTACATAATGAAACCACTGTTATTGCTAGACTGCTATTCTTACTAAGTATATCAATTGTAAATAGGGACCTGTGGGAGCAAACCAACCAGGAACCGATTGTGCAAAAAATAGGCAAGAAGAAATGGAGATGGATTGGCTGGCCATACTCTGAGGAAACCATCAAGTGACATCACTAGACAAGCCATTGCTCGAGTGGAACCCGAAAGGGAAGCGGCGAGTTGGTCGTCCAAGGGTGACTTGGAGGAGGTCATGTGAAGAGGAGATGAAAGCATGTGGGGAGATGTAGAGCCAGGTGACCATTTTTTTGTTGGAGAACCGAACGCAGTGGAGACGTGCGGTTGAAGCCTTATGTTCCTCTAGGAATTAAAGGAAATAATAATAACACTGTCAATAGTTAAATGATAAACTGCTTGCCTTGCCTAAGTGTAGATCCGAGAATGACATGAAGGAGATTTAATGGTGAAAAAGAAATTGAGAGACTATCAGTAATTATGCAGTCAGCTGAAAATGTCAGTAGAGAAATGAGTTAAATGTAGATGTGTTGCTCCACTTGAGGGTTTCCTTTTGTAATGTACTGAAACAACACTAGCAGGAATAATGATAACAATATTAGTAATAATGATAATTTGGATAACCAGACATGTCAATAAATAATAATAATATGGGATTCTTAAGCAGTACTCCGAGTGCGTTGGCAGTAGAATGCTCGTCAACCACGCCTCATGTAGTCCGGGCTTCGATCCCCGGCCACCGACGCACTCCTTTACCTCACTAAGCCAGTAATAAGACTGGTAAAGAGGGAAGGTTGGGCCAGCATGACGCTGGCTAGCAACCCCATCCTGTAAAAATAAGCACCACTGCTACCGGAACTTCAAGCATCTAGCTTGAAGTGAAGCCCTATGTTCCACTGGGAACGCAGAGGAATGAAATAAAAGCAGTACTCCGCATCTGGTATTCGAATCTAAGACCTTCCAATTACAAGGTATCCTCGTCGACTATTCATTCAACCATCGAAGACGTTGGTTGGTGGTCTCTTTGAAATAACAAATTGGCAGAATTTGGAATTTACTGGCCCGAGTGGTTGGATGAATAGTCAAGGAGTTTGACTTGTAATCCGGAGGTCTTAGGTTCAAACCCTGATGGGCGCGTATCGCTAAATAATAATAATAATAGTAATAATAATAAAGTTAGCAAGTATTTCTTACCATATCGTGATTTTCTTTAGATTATTGATTTCGTAGTTTGGGTAGTTTTGTATTTCACAGTACCACTTCAATGTGTATCCTCTTTTGTATAGCGATGATAGACAGTTCTGTGGAGATTTCTATTTATTATCCATAAATATATTTATTATTATGATTATTACTAATAGTAGTAATGTTAGTGTTGTCATGTATGAAAAGTCAAGTTATTTGCAGGTAGTTTGACTGTTCTCTTTTTATTTCCTTCCATTTTAATACTTGTACATCAGCCAACAAGCAAGTAGGCAAGCAAACACGAAAGTTGGCGAAGATGTAGACACACGTATTGGAGTTCATGTATATCGAAGTATATTTCTCTCTTGTAGTCATCTTTCTCTCTTATTCCCACTGTTTATCGCGTGTATTTTGTCATCCCAGTTACATCAACTAAAGACAACTAATCAACTAACTAACTAACCAACGGGTTAACTAACTTTTAGTGACAGTAATGAAAGTCAGACAAAGAGAGATTGTCTTCTATAATTGCATGCCTGTATATTTAATGGGTAAACTAGATGAAGTGCGCCAATTCATTCAACGAAGGAACACAAACACACCTCTATTTACAGACACACGCGCACAAACATACACACTGACAGCGAGACAGAAGAATGCACAAACAACTGCATCACAAAGACTAATCCGTCCATCTTCTTCTTAAATAAGTAGAGTGCACTTAGAATCGCAATGTTTCCCTGCTGATTTCTTTATTGAATGAATAAGGATTATTCCTTTCTCACGACGATAATGAAGGTGATTATGATGATGATTAGGCGGTTGGAATAGCTGTGGTGCTTATAGACATGACCCAAGTTCATTTCATCAATATCAACTGACGTAATTGTGTGACAAAGGCGTGCAACAACAACAATAACGATAACAAATAAGCCAACAAGTCTAAACTAGACAAGTTTGTTTTGTTTTTTTTAAACATTTTTGTCTTAGTAAATATTTTTAATCAGATTATATAATATGGGATAATAATAAATAACATAAAGAGAGATTTTTGTGTAATTTCACTGCGTCACTCAGTCCCTCACTCACTCAGTCAGTCACTGACGCACTCGCCCAGTCATCCTCAGTGTCTTATGTCTCCTGTCTCTTTCCTGTCATCAAATGTCAATTAACAGAAAAAAAGGAGAGCCAAAGAAATCAGACATATCATAGAAGGCAAGCTATGTTAGACATCCTATTTTTTTGGCTGATATACTGAACCTAGACGGATGGATAGATAGAGAGATAAATCAGTATGCCAAATGGCATAGAAACATTGCTGAAGAGACACAAATGATGAATACACTTCGTCACTAATTAACTAACTAAGTAAAAGAGTGATTGCTCAGCATGATGTTTTATAATTAAGGCATCGAAAAAATAAAGACAAGACAGAAGAATAAACATATTTTGTTTACGAATAAAAAAAAAACATAACTTACGACATGTTTAAGTCTTTGTCTAGAGTTTTGATATAAACTGTACACTTACCTACACAGTTAATTATCATTGCCTAAGAATGGATTTGTATTATTAAGAGGTTGGAGACAATCGGAAGTAAGCTCTGTCAAGACTTAGATTTCGTGGTTTTTTGGAACTTATCAGTTAGCAAGGTGTGTCTGCATTCGTCAAAGAAACTCGTACTCCCTCCCCCCTGTGAGATTTGAACCGTTATCATACAGTTGTGCAGTCAGAGACATTATCACTGAGGAGCTATTCGCGTTGGCGATTGATCTCCTGTAGCAGTGGATTGAATACTTTGATTGGATACAACGTAGCGTAGTGGTCTTATTGTGAACTTGACTGACGATCGAATTCAGTCTGCAGTAAACGAAAGAACTAGACGCATAACACTAGTAAGTGTACTGTCAAAAGTATATAGATTTCTAGGTTTTGTAGAGATTTCAATAAAGACTTTGTCATGGAACAGCAGGTTTTAAAAGGTATCAGGTGAGAAAGAAAAAATAATTGTCCACTACCCTCTAAATGTTATTGTTTAGTGACGAAATGTATAGTGAGATATTTAACACTACGTCGGATTGAATTATTATTATTATTGTCTTCAGTAGTTCCTAGAGGAGTATAGGGCTTCGACCGCATGTCTCCATTGCGTTCGGTTCGCCAACAACAAATTTTTCACCTGGCTGTACGTCTTCGCACATGCTTTCATCTCTTCTTCAGATGACCTCCTCCATGTCACCTCACCCTCCCAGTGACAACCAACTCGTCGCCTCCCGTTCGCTGGCGTGTGATGTCACAGACCCGATGGATGGTTTTCAAAGAGTATGGCCAAGTTAATCCACCTGCATGTTCGTTGCACAATCAGCTCCTGCTGGGTTAGTTGGCTCATTGTCAGAGATCCCTCACTATTGCTGATCTTTTGTGGTCGGCCATCTGATCTTGAGTACTATTGAGCGAAGACAACTGTTGATGAGTGTCTGTAATTTGTTTGAAGTGCTCTTCATGACACGCCAAGTCTCTGATCTGTACAGTAAGTAGCACTGACTTCGCATTGGAGATGAAAATCCGCCTCTTATTTTTAATGCTGAGTGTTGATCTCTACACAGACTTGATAGTAAGGAAAGCGTGTCTTGCTTTCCCGATCCTTGTTTTGATATCCCCATCAATTCCGTCCGCTTGTAGTTGAAACGACAATACTTCCCAGGTAGATAAACCAGGTTGCTTCTTTCAGACTCCTCCTATTCATGCTAGCTGATTGTTGTCTTTTGGTGTCTCTGAAGGTGCTGTTGTCCAATCACCTCTGTTTCCCCTATGTTCACCTGAAGGAAGTCCTATCTTCACTGGATACTTCTTTTGCCAACTTGTTGCTTTTCATTTGCATATCTTCCAGTTTGTGGGAAATCAGACATATATCATCGGTGAAGTCCAGATCCTCCAAGTTGTTTTTGTGTGGATCAATTTCAAGCCTATCTTCTCGTTGTCCGCTGTCTGTCGCATTACTCAGACGTTGGATTGAACACATATTCATAAGTGAATCACTCTAAGAAACTTTCAATAATCATAGACAACACTGAATGCACACTTTTTTCTCAAATAATTCAAAATAGTTAACCGCCAACTCTGAATATATATTGTCCCCTCAATTCAGAGATCATACAAACACTTAAAAATTAAAATACATTTAATTTTTATTTATTTATTTATTACAAAGTAATAAATATCATTAGTATTAATATTATTTTGTGTGTGTCGGTGGCACAGAGATAGAATACTCGCCAATCACGCATGTGGTTCAGACATATAAACTCACTAGTAAAGGGAATAAAATCCATATGTAAATAGGAAAATGAACAAGGAGAATTACCTGAAGAGGCAAACTGAACACCAACGTTTATAAAAAGCCAATGGATTCTGCTAATCGATATTTATACTTTAATCTATCTCATCTGTTGTTATGTGTAAAGGCAGGCTTAGTTAAGTGTCTAACAAACCGAGCAATACAAACATTGAGTAGTACAAAAAACGACCTAAACGACGAAATGAAACAGATAGAAGAATAGGTGGTTGGTTTTAAATAACTATCTATCCTATAAAATTCATAAGGAATATTAAAAAAGGTCAAAAGCAAAATAAAAATAATGAAAA